CAAAAAGATAGCGTGGTATCCATATAAAATATGAGTCTGAGGGAAAAGTACTGACAAACTGAAAGGGGCCAATGCTCTCTCCCTCCCTCTTGTAACTATTATAAGGACAAGAGCTGTTGTAAAGATAGGAACTAATGAGGCTGCAGCAGATGCTATTCAAGGAGGCAGAGAGCTTTACAGTATCTGTTCCCTGTGTTCATTTAATTCCAACAAAAACAAATCTCCCACTCAGTTGTGAAGAAGGCTAAAGAATCTGATAGAGACTCAGACAGGGAAGGACAGAGGAAGAAAAATGAGTAATGGTGCTAATGTTGAGCTGCTGCAGAAGATTAGTGGAATTCTCAATTAAACAACTGCGGGCAACTTCCTCCCCACCCCGCAAAAAAAACCTGCCCCACTGACAAATGGAAAATCAAATGCCAGATATGCACAGTTGTATTTGTGCCACTACTAGTCCATCTGCAATATGTGCCACAGGCCAGTTGTTACATTTCAGTTATATACTGGAAGAATATATGACAAAGTCAACAGCATAGAAACATTTTGAGAGAGACGAGGTGGATGAGATAATCTTTTATTGGACCAACTTTAGTTGGTGAGAGAGACTCAGTTTTGAGCTCCAGAAAGCTCTTCTTCAGAATCATTTTGTGGTTCTCACTGCTCAGTTTTTCTCTCTCCCTTTGTTGGGAGAGAGGCTTCAGGGTCAAAACATCAGGTTTAAAACACGTAGGCATCCTGGAACCACAGGTTCAATTCCTCTCAAGGTTGATTCATCTTTCCAAAGTAGATAAGTTGACTAACGTGCAATTTATTGTGTTTGACCTTCCAAAGAGAGACTTTCTCTATCCCTGTGGATATTTATAGATCTCATGGCAGTAAGGGTCTGTCTGAATGTCCTTAGCTAAAATTTCCTAATTTCATTATATTTTGTTTTTCTGTGTTGGTAGTTTTGTTTGCTTGCCCCGCATTCCAGCGTCATGCTATATGTTTATGGATTGTAAAGCACTTTGTGATGAAAGGCAATTTATAAATGTAAAACTGGAGCCGTCCCTTGGGTATGTAGGATGACTGTGGCTGGCAGCACAGTGTTTTGTTTTTTTTTGTTTTGTTTTTTTTGCTCTGCCGGCGGGCACCCCCATGTGTCCCGATATTTTCTTCCCCTCATCTGGTCACCCTATGGTTACGGCGAATCGGGGCGACAGCTCCGGGCCCTGCGCTTTGGGGGGCCTGGCGGGCCGGTGCAATTGGCCAGCGTGGTTGGTCCCGTAAGTGATGGGTCAGTCCTGGCAGTGACAGATTCGTCACTTCTACCCTGGGCCCTGCACCGCCCTAGGGATGGCCCTGTGTACAATAGTACAATCTTCTGCTCCCTGTGTGTCTGAATGCTGCTATTACTTTCAGAACACTCCCGTAGGGCAAAGGAGAAGGGAATATACAAGAGGGACAAAAGATGAAGAATGAGAATCACACGAGTTTTAGTTAAGCAATAGACTTATTACACTCAAGAAAAAACAAACAATGGAAACAATATTAAAAGTAGTTTACAAAGTGAGTATGTGGTCCCATGTCATAGATCTTGCTTTGCAGGATACTCAGATTGGAGCAAATAACAGAACCACAAAGTCCTTCCTGCTAGTTAATGTAATTTAGAAATGGTAACGTAATAAAGTCATAGGGAATATTTTTATTTTTAATAGAACAAGTTGTCCTTGGAACTTACTTCCAGGAATTTGTTTGATACGGTCTCTGATATTGGTGTTTCCTTATTCACAGTTTTAATGGCCATATGAACCTAGTTTCTGATACATTAATCTGCTGTATTGTAAGGGGAGAAATATAATGACTTTGAGGTCTAGGATGAATGAGGTCTAGGTTCCATTTAAGGCATTGGAAGCTTTGCTATTGCCGTCAATGGGACCAGCATTTTACCCCTAAATTCTAGCCGTACCTCCTTCAACAACTTGAAACAAAAACATCTTCTTAAACCTCTTCCTCCTTGACGTTTGAATCCTTCAATTCCTGGAGGATTGCTCTTTCATTCTTTCCTCTAAGTCATTGCTTAGTTTTAGTGTCAGAGACACTTCATTGTCCTCGACCTTTTTTCCCTTTTTCAATTCTTCAATCAATACCATTTCTGTAATACTGTGTCCTAAATTTTGCCCAGTACTCCAAGATTTGGTCTCTGTAGCCCTTTCTACAGTGGTATAATGTTCTCTTATTAAATGATTTCTATGGCAACATCCCAGTATTCTGTTTGCTTTCATAGCAACTGCTAGACATTAAGTTCTATTCATTTCTTACCCCAGATCGGTTTCCTGGTTTTCTGTCCTGTAATTTATGACTATTTAGAGCTTTAGTACTCATTACATTGCCCAGTGACCCCTGGCAACCCCCTCCCTCCACTACTTTCTGGCTTGGTGGTTGTTGCAGCAACTCACAGTGTGTTACATTTCACATGACAAGGTGAATGACAGGTCTCCAGCCCAATCAAAAAGCCTACTCCTGTTTCCAGCATATGACACTACATATCAAGATAGCACTGGAGTGGCCATGCTGTGTAATGTCATGCAGTAAAAGCTGTTTCACAAAAGGAAAAAAGTAAAGCCTGAAGCAGCCCAATCACGAGGGAAGAACAAATACAGATGAAGTAGCATATTTATTGCCACAAAATTAACTGCTGAATAGAGCTAAAGAGAGATGAGATCTATATTGCATCTAGGTGTTGTTAATGAGAGTGAAAAGTGATTGTCTGTTTTTGATAACAAGGGTTTTGGAACTAATTTCCTCTGTCTACAAAATTTGCCCAAATTAAACTGGTGGGAAACCAGAGAACTTCAGTGAAGCTGTCCCCCTATGGCATTTTGGGATCCTGGTCTTCTTTAAGAAGAGAAGTTGCCCTGTCAACTCTATTTGGAAAATATGCAATGTAGGGGGCACACAGTGATTCTAGTCCCTGTCAGCCATAGAAAAGCCTTGCTATTATCTTGGATCCCATATTCATATTAATTGTATTGATGCTCAGTAAGTCCAGGCATCTCAGGTGATCAGATAACATGGTGATGGGTATGATTGAACCGCATAAATAGATACAGTACAACTTGGTGAGAGTATGTTAAGCAAAATATACTGAATCTCTTTGTTTGGAGTAGCTCTGTATTTTTTTCTTTTGGTATGAACTCTGTGGGAATACCCATTGTAAGTCACATGCATAAATGTTTGCAAAATCAGGCCCTTGCACTCCAGTATAAAAAAGGAACTAAAATAGAGTGGTAACTGTGCAGCTTTTCCCATCATGTTGATTTTGAATGTATATGAATTACATGTTTTCTTTGTTTAATGCTTCTGTTAGCTCGTGGTAAAAAATAAATTAGAATGTGTTTCTGCTGAAAATATCACTGTATTTTCTTCTCCACTCCATCCTTTGACCAAAGTGAGGTTTTCATTTAAATTGTTCAAGAGGGGGAAAATGGGGAGAGGTTTTCATTTAAATTGTTCAAGAGGAAAAAGGGAAAAGGGAGGCAGGTACATTTCTAGTTTCCTTTTTGATTGTTTAACTCACCCCCTCCCTTTCTCTTGTTTTCCCCCTATTCTTCCATTAATATTCATTGTGTACATTTGTCCAATTTTCTTGAACGTAGAGGATTGACATTAATTTGCTCTTCTAGATTCTCACTTTGATTATCTTGACATTGTTTTTAGACATGTCAAAGTCATATATATATATATATATATATATATAACTAAAGACTATCTATCTATCTATCTATCTATCTATCTATCTATCTATCTAAAACAAATATCTATATTTTGTTCCTGTACTTTTTTCATAAAGCAAGGTTGTAACTTCCAAAACCACCCCAGCATCCTGTCACAGATTAAAAGAACCAAACGTTTTATTTCCCTCTTGGTTAAATGTGTTTCCCCAAAAAGTCTTTCTGCCAGTTAGCTTCCTCTAACAGAACTCCTGCTGGTCAGTTCTTGTATCTTGCTATGGCAGCTGTGAACATATATACAACTGATTGAGCGATATACATCTGACTGGAGCATGCCCGCTAATTGGTTTGAGAGCTAGATATAGACAATGCTGTCTTATAGCCGCTTGTGCAGATAGGCCCAGTGGTAGGGTTAATTCTGCTTGACAGCACATCAGCCGCATCTTGAGAATAATTACCCAACTTAAGTTTTCCCACAGCTGAACTGAGAGCTTCAAAGGCTTCTGAATTTACAACTATTATTAACCTATATCTGAAACATAATGTTCCCACAAGGGCTAGACTTTTTCTCCTTCTTATTAAATGTACAGGTTATTAGGTTCATTTGCTATGTGCTAAGCTCTTAGAGGACAATACTCCTTGTTAGAGAGTGAAAATCTGTAGGACACAAGAAGGAGGATAATTGTGCATCTAGCACACATCATTATCTTTGCTAAGACATCAAAATCAGTTCAACTTGTGTTTAAAGAGAACAGAGCTATTTTTTTCTATTTGCAGAGTGAGGAAATTAAAGACACACACAAAACCCTCATAAGATGTTGCCCAACTACCGATCATTGTATACAATACATATGATATTAATGAAAAGTATCTGGTTCAAAAATAGATTAGAAACGTTCATGAATATATGGAATCCTGTTAATTACTTTTTGAAAACTAAAATGAATGAGAACAATATGTATTTCATAACTACAAGTATGTGCTGTAATACATAGTTACATAACTTAATCCTGGTTTTATATTTATATCCTGTGTTTGGTTTCCCTTGTGTGTTTTTTCTTTCTTTTAAAATTTCTCTTCTTTTTAACTGTACATTGTGCAAATCCAATAAAAGTATTAAACATGAAAAGCAGCATTTGGGATTAAAATCAATTTGCATGCATGAATTATTAAAACACAGAGGTATGCCTACTTCTTAAAAACAGTAGTTTTTTTCCCTCTTGTCAACTAGTTTCCATGCTTAAAAGCAGTTCTTATAATGTAAGTTCTTTCTGTTTCCCTTTGCAGGTCAGAAACAAAGTTTGACTCCAATTCAGGTATGTTTAGATTTACAATGTCATGCTGAATACACTGTATTCATGTTCTGCTCATCAGACTAATTTATCAGTTCAGCTTCAATTTTAATGAGACTGAGGCAGGCCAATCTTGAAAAGGATCTGAGTTTTCTTACCACCTAAGAATAGCACTGTTATTGCTGATGCCTTTAATTCATTCTCTTCATTGGTTCATACCTTTTTACTTTCTTCTTTTTACCTTGAGATGATCACCAGGAAGCCATTGTTTTGCAGTAAGTTTTAACTGATCCATCTTTAAAAAAAAAATCATAATAATAAAAAGTAAAGCAAATAGAGGAGAGGTAGAGCTTGATAATTATCATTACCTTTTCAAAATGAATGTTTTTCTTCCTTGTGGACAAAGACATTTCATGGGAATTTGAATTCTGTGCAGCCTGTATGTCAAGAAGCAGGTGATTTGTCATGAAATTTTCATGACAGATGCATGTACACAATGCATGCCAGACCAGTCTGCAGACTTCTTTCTAGTAGGTTTACCAAAAGGCAATATCTCTCAACTTACCTTTTTAAAGAATTTTAATGTGTTACAGGGGAAAAAAGCGAAGGTCAGTATAACGGATTAATATGTATCTAACAAGACAAAACACACAAAGCAGCAAACAGAACTGTTTTCTCCAAATGAGGATGGTGAAAGCAGACTGCCACTTGTTAAGCTACTTATACCCGGGTGTTTGTTGAAGTTATAAAATAGTAGGCCCTTAAATTGTAAAAATAATTTCTTACACTGAGAGCAGCTGAAATGTCTATTACATGAAACAGTCACTCAAAAATACATATCTTAGTTAAGAGGGAAAATTTTATTTTAAATAGAAAAACAATATTAATATAAGTTCAGAGCAGTCTTGTAATTAAGTTAATGTTACCCCATTAATTTATTTAATGCAGGGTTTTAAATTGTTATACTTCTGAAAATTCTACAATGTTAGTAACCTAGAAGTCTCTCGGAAATGCCATACACCTCTACCTCGATATAACGCTGTCCTCGGGAGCCAAAATTTTTTACTGCATTATAGGTGAAACCACGTTATATTGAACTTGCTTTGATCCACTGGAGTGCGTAGCCCCCCACCCTCCGAGCATTGCTTTACTGCGTTATATTCGAATTTGTGTTATATCAGGTTGCGTTAAATCGAGATAGCGGTGTATTTCCTTTTTTCCCATTTATAGCAGTGATCTCAATTTGAATTGTGAGGTACCTGTACTATTTTTCCCTTTTTTTTTTACACTGGACTGTATCTTTGCAGCAGCCAGTATAGGGTGTGAAATTTGCAGAGTGAAGGACTTAGAAGACCCAATTCATGATTCGTATATAATTGAGTGATATTGTTGTGGTTTTAATTGTTGTGTTTGGGGTTCCTAGTTGCAGGTATTGCTCAAGTGAGGTAAATGCTTATTTTGGTGCCCATGGCTTGTGAATATGTAATGGAAGGGCAAGGTAGTTTTAAATGTTTTCTGATGTATTTTTTATAAAACTACTCTAAAGATGGCATGGAACAGAACTACCAACTGTTGCTCTTCCTTGTTGCCTAATTGGAATGAAAATGCTTGTTAAAGAATTCCCCTTTGCAGTGAATATGTTTAAAGTGTGAACAAGGACTCTAGTATTTTGTATGGTTTTGTTCTTTCTCTCCTGATGGGCAATATTTGCCAGGCTTTTTCTTTAGAGTGACTACACTGGGAATAGAAAGAGGCTAGAGGCATAGGAAGCTTAGTGGGATACTGAGGCCACCTCGTAGTCATGCCAGAGAGCTGCTTTGAACATTCTGTCAGTCACCATGCTTGGGAAATCCCCTATCTCTGGTATGAATGTGTCTTTAACATGGACAGATATGGTAGCACCCACCTTTAACACCGTGATGTATGTGGCTTCATCCTTCTGAAACGTGTAAAGTTGGTATGTTGCTGGTCAGTGATGGAGAATCCACCATGACCCTTGGTAAATTGTTCCAATGGTTAATTATTCTCCCTGTTAAAAATTTACACCTTATTTCCAGTCTGAATTTGTCGAGCTTCAACTTCCAGGCATTGGATTGTGTTTATACCTTTCTCTGCTAGATTGAAGAGCCCATTATTAAATATTTGTTTTCTAGGTAGGTATTTATAGACTAATCAAGTCATCCATTAACCTTCTGTTTGTTAAACTAAATAGATTGAGCTCCTTGAGTCTATCACTATAAGGCAGGTTTTCTGATCCTTTAATCATTCTTGTGGCTCTTCTTTGAGCTCTCTCTGATTTATTAACATCCTTTACCAACATGCAGGATGTATGAATTGTAGGAATATTGCTCTGGCTGCCCTGTTCCATCTGTCTTTCTGCACATCTCCATTTCAAAACAGAAAGATGTACACCTAGGACTTTGTTATTCCCAAATACTCCATGTATAGACAATGTTATAATGGCAAAATTATGCCTTGTTCCTTTTCAGCTTTGAAAATGGATTAAGCTTTTATTCCAGAATAAGAATGTTCATGCATCGAGTTATTCAGGAATAGCTATTGCACTTTATAAATTCACACCTACCTTAATCTGAATTAACTTTCGAGGGTAGACAAGCCCTTAGTGGTCACTCTCTGTATGTATTTGGTGGGACGGGAAGAATGGAAACTATTCTTGAAGCACAAAAATCTGCTCTAGGGCAAGAGGGGGAGAATTTCCTTCTGTTTCTTTTCTAGCAACATGTGTGAAAATATTGAAAAATAAAAAAAACATGACTATTTTTTTTCTGAAGCTGGCACAAAGTCTGAAATGTAGCGTTTAAAAAAAGTCTAATAGATTCACTATAAATTCAGACTTTGGAAACACTGTACAACACTGAAATATTAGGCAGACATTGTCAAAGGAAGATTAATTTGAACTTGAACATTTAACTTAAATGTGTGCTGTAAAATTCCTGTATGGATAATCAGTATTTATCATGTAAATAGCTAGAACATCTGTACAGGGGACATAGTTTTCACCCTCATGACTAAAAATTTTGTCTGAGAAACTTTTTTGCGCGCTAATTTTGTATCTTTATCAAGGGAAAAATTTTGCCTCAAAAATATGAAATTAGCTTCATGCCATAAATGTTCTTAGGTGACAAAATGACTGTGGTTTACTTTTATATCATGGATTTAAATAATTAAAAAAAACCCCAAAATATATTAAAGCAAAAAATCTATTGTAAGAAATACTTTAAAAATATAGTATTTGTCCTACTGTTCTCTCAAAATTTGCCATTCGTCATAGTAACCCATGAAAAACAAAGCTGAGAATATGTCCTTAGCATTTTGTAGGGTATCATTTAGATTATACTATTCTATTATTATTATTTATTTATTATTAATTAATAATAAATTGTATAGAGGCCCCATTGTGGTTGGTTGGAAATTAAGGTGGCATTTTGGAACAAAACAACAGGTTCATATTCTCTTGTTGTAGATCAATATCATGCCGCTGACAGTAAATTAGATCGGATTAATGTTGTGTAGACTTGTAGTGGTATATCTGACACGGAAGGATTTTAAATTAAGGGAAATGTCAATCTTAATAATAAAATAATAATACGTAATATTTATATAACATTCTTAATCTGTAGATCTCAAAGCAGATAGCTAAGTATCGTTATCCCTATTTTACTAATGGGGAACCAGAGTTACAGCTAGGTGAAGTAAGTTGCCAATGTTACACAGTGTGAGAACCACAGAGTCAGAATAAATTGCAAGTCTCCTTACTCGCTCTTTGTGGCCTTATCTGTTGAACTATGCTGCATTTTATAAACAGTGTTGCTGACAAGTAGCCACATCATTGTGAAGTCAAATTTGTTCTGCTCAAGAGAAAAACGTCATTTTATGTTGGCAGATACTTACTGATGACCTAGACTGTGTAGAGAGTTGTATTATTATTAGGGTAGTGCTCAGATATCCTGATTTTGGCCAGCGACCCATTGCACTAGGTACCCATTGCACAAACATAAAAGTAGTCTGTCTCCCCAAGAGCTTACAAATTGTCTAGTGCTCTACACTTAAGGAAATGCCACAATAGAACTGGGAATTTCATTTTTCTTGATCAACTGGCCAATCCTTAACCACTTCATTCTGCTTGTGGTGTTTTTACCCACCTGATTCTCCTTTGTCCCTGAGCACAACTGAGCAGAAAGCAGGCAACCTTCCTCGATGAGAACTCATAGGTGATTGGGAGGCCGGCTGAACTGAGTGGGAGTAAAAGGCAGAAGTGCATTCATGTGTTTGAAGGAGGGGCCAATCGTTTCTTCACTTAGGGCATCAGGCACCATTGCTTTACAATGAGTCTATTGCATATAAATTGGATTGTGAGTGAACAGGTGATTAACAGAAAAGAAAGACAGGAATGCATGTCTGCTGGTATATAGGGAGAGTTTTAATGTGCTGTATGGAATTGATTGTAAAATATAAAAATTGTGTACATGGTCCTTTTTCACTCTGGATAATGTATATATTTCAGGTGATTGCACACACTTTGTTGGTGGTAGTAGTAAAATACCCAAAAAACAACCCTAGTGTGATGGTATCACTGAAGAGAACTTCTCTTGTAGAACCTTTAGCTACCACTTAGTTGTTCCTCTGGTTGTTTTTCTGTTGATTTTTCTTTTTCCCCCCATCAGGGAACTTGCCTCCTCCATATGTTCCCCTGGAACTGCAACTCACAGTTCAAGTGTCACATTAGCAGGAACTTCCCTAATTTAATTACAAAAGAGGCAGAAGTGCTGACGCAAAACGTCAGTGAGCACTTTCATCTCTTGTTCATGTAACGCTTCTGCCATGTGTCATTGGCAGCAACAAGGGCTGGGTTCAAATGATAAAACTAACAAACACCACCTGCTGGAGCCCCCACCCAGAAACCTGAGAAAAATGCTAAAGCTTCTCTGGACACCCTTAACAGGCAATACATCCCCACTTACAAGCACAGAGTTTGTATATAAATCAAGGATTTAAGGGGACAC